TGTTTCTAAAGCAAAGAGATAATCTTAGTGAACGTTTCTAAAGTTCCCTATAAAATCATGTTCTTTAATCAGTATTGCCATTTGTCTCCTGCCAAGTAAAACAGTCTTTCATACCAGGGAAGTGGTCTAGGAAAAAAAAGCAGGAAGAGGCCATGTGCTTCAAAATGGTTATTTTTTAAAAATGGAAATTTATCAGGGATGTAAGGTCAGAGTGAGTGAGTGCATGGATAATTTCCTTTCCAAGGGACTAGAAAAACTGAGTGTGTGGAAAGAGGGCATAGGGGGCCACAGATTGGCCCCTCCCTGCGACCAGGACAGACTTGCCTGAAGACCCAGTCTCTTCCTGCCTGTATCCCTAGACCGGAAGATTGGAGCCCAGCTCAGTGTTTAACAGGGATAGCAAAGCCTACAGGGAATGCAAAGTCTTTTTCTTGGTTTGACTTAATATATTCTTTAATTAATCAGTCTCCTCCCTGTCCCTCTTTCCCCCCTCAAAAAGCCTATTTTTATCTTTCAGACACATTTTAGAGAGATATAATTATTTTTCCTCAGATTTTCCTATTTTCCCCCAGTGCCTCCCCTCTTCTAAAATATCCAGATTTGATCATTTCTTCTAAGGGATGCCAAAACAATTAAATATGACATAAATTTAAATTTCCTCTATTAATTCTATTTGCCACCACTCTAAGCCCAACATTTATTTACTTATACACATAGATACATAGATGTACACACAGTACAGGCCAGTTTTTTTTCTGTCTCTCCATTGTCTTAAAATGTCTGGAAACCTGATTTTAGTTAGGTTTCCCCAGAGCTTCTCTGGAACTATTTGAAACTCAGCCAATTTTGTGAAATCAACTAACCGAAGGGTTCTCAGGTCTCCAGGGACGTCCTACAACCCCCTGCATTTTTGTTCCTTAAGTTGGTGTCTTTGGGCTTCTTCTAGAGATATGTAACCAAGCCTTTGGGATTTTAAGGTAAAGTGATGGACGTAGGATGGACAATGGCCAGTCTACATTCTTCAAAGCATATTCTGAGACCTTCTGTGAGTGTCAGACACTCTCCTTACGTTTTCTCATTTAGTCCTGGTAAGAACCCCGTGAAGTAAGCATTATCAGATCTTTATACCAACAAGGAAACAGGCTGAGTGGGGTTGTGCCAGTTTGGATAGAGTCAGAGTTTCACAATTAAAGGAGGAACACCCCTTACAGGGCCTTTGCACAGAGTGCCTAGACTCGGAAGGCACCAACAAAGCAAAAGCTTGACTACTGTGTCTCTCAGACCTGCCTAGGTTCAACAGGGATGAAAGGGAAAGCTCCATGGTCCCACAGGGACAAAAAGGGTTTCAGATTTGTACCATTCCAGGCAAGATGCAGTGCACATTTAAGTTGGGGTGGGGTGCACAACTTTTCTAATAGCCTGCAGGTTCTCGGAGAAACTGAGTCTTGCCTCATCTGGTTAGGGGAGGCACGGCATTTGGTGAGGGGTGTCTCAGTGATGCAACAGCCACCACACAGACAGCACATGTGTGCTGTTGCTTCAAGCTGCCCCAGAGAGGCCACTGGGTCCTCTTTATCTCTGGGGCCAATCTGTGGCTCCCTGCTCCCTCTTCTCTAGATCGTTCTTTGGGTGGAGTCCTGGCCTTTCCTGAAAGTTTGCAGGCACCCAGGAGTTGGACTGCTGGACCCATATCTCCTCTAAATATATAGACCTTTAAAAACCCAGTCATGCTCTTCCATGCCAAATACAGTATTTGCACTTGAATTCAAATCATGAGTTATAACCTAGATGGAGCATCTTGCCTTATGTTTAAGGCCCAAGGGATTGAACTTAATTAGGAGATAAACTGGTGAGCAAAGACAACAATTCTCATTACAAAGTAGCATTTGTTTGGGGGATTCAGGTCTCCCCAAATATTGTCCTAGAGACCCCTACTAATAAAGATATTAAGTAACATCCTAGTGTCAGGTGACAAACTCCTCACCTGTATAGGATTCGCCATTCTTCCTTAGTGTGTAACCAATGATCATTGCATTCTATCTGGAGAGGCAAATGGCCTCTCTGTTAAGGTAAATAGCCTTGTACTAAAGAGTAGAAAACATGGATTGCAGGAACACGAAATTGAGGACACGGACCTTGGATATGGGTCAAAGATGTCTTTTGTCTATCTCTTTGGTGGCCACAGTTGCTTGCAAGTTGCCCTCTTGCATGCTATTGCTATGATTTTAGTTATTTTAGGTTCTTAATTTTGGTATTTTGTTTTCGCCACACAGGCTAGACTTACTCAGCTGACCTGCATGGAAGCTGAAGGCACTTTGTGTTTGAACATTCTATTTAAGGCTGAAGCAGGGGAAAAGAATTAAGGTAGAAATTGATTGTTGAAGGGCCTTTTGCAATTTCTGCTTTCCTAAAACAGAACATCCTTCTTCCTCAGCTACCATTAACCTTTATTTAGAACAGAATAAATCACTGGACTCAAAATTTATGTTATACACTAAAGTCAGCTGGAAAACGACTTGTCTTTTCACTAAATGTCATTATTCAAACTATAAATTCAGTACCCTAGAATAGTTTCACATCTTCTTGACGGCCTTTCACTGACCCAAAGTCCTCTGTGGGTTTTATGGTGTAAGCATTGTTTGTGGTTACTCAACTCCCTTCTGCCCAACTTTCACAGAAGCTGACTCACCACTTGCTGAAAGCATCCCATCAGCTTTGCTATGAGTCAAATAAATTAATAAATTAGAGTGAAGGTTTTGTTGTTGTTATTGTTGTTTCCCCCACTTTTTGTACTTAGAAAAGATTCAGGGTTTTTTGTTTTGTTTTGTTTTGTTTTTTAGTGTTTCACAAATTCAGCTTTTGGATTCTCATGATTCTGGCATTGTCAATTATAATTCAATGCCTTTTTTAGAGCTGGGGTAGAGGAAGAAGATATTTAGATGTTTGACATTGAATATCTGCCATTCAGACCTTTTCTGCTCTCCCCCTGTGCTGAAATGAAGTGGGGCATGCAGAAGTGACTCTGAAATTGAGGGACAGAAGGTGGGGTCCTGGAAATGAAGGTTGGGGAACTTTTTTCTCACCTCGCCTCCTGGCCCACCTGGCAAACTCCTGCATTTAAATGCTCCCAGTACTCTGAAACCCTCAGGGCACCTCTGGGAGCCTCAGACTTGATCTGATCCATCGAAGAGTCAACCTGGGGAAGAAGTGATTATGAACTGACAGTTTCTTCTTATCTAGAGCTGGAGAGAAGTTGGATCTGACTCTAGTCTGTTCCTCATCTGAGGTATGTCAGGATAGTCAACAGTTCTCCAAATGAGAAAGTAAAAGAGTGGATGAGGAGTGACAGATGGGGCTGTGTGAAACCCGGGCTGGCTTTAGCAGCTTCTGGGTTCTCCAGGGAGAAAGGAGAAGGCAAGGGGAGAAATGACAGCTGTGCTCATTGATGTGAGCCTTGGGAACTGAGCCTCTTTGACTTTCCTTCCATAAATGCTGAGAACACACAGCCGATAAGAGGCCCTAGAGCCCATAAGGTGGGCTCTTTGGATTTTACAATTCCCTTGCCACCCTTAGCAAAAGAAGGAGTGAAATAAAGTTTAAAATGTGTCTTTCTGTATCCTCAAAAGACCACAGGAAGTCCCTTTGTTTTTCTATAGTCAATTCAGTCCTAGACATGGTCTAGACTAGAATCTTTGAGGCCTTAGCTTCATGCATTGGACTGTTTCCCCCAAAGTCTCTAAATTAAAGTAGGACTCAGTCCTCTGAACAGTAAGAACACCTGCAGTTCTGACCTGTGGAACTAGGGCATGCCTGTTGACCTGCTTGTATAGGGATAGCAGAAACTTCTGGAGCTTTTGTAAGATCCAAAGTTCGTTCAGAATTAAGAACTTCTTGATATTCCATAGCTGTTGCTGTAGCACTTTTAGTAACAGCATGTCGTACTGCAAATATACTTCTTGGCATTTTGGATGGGCAGGTCTACTCTTAGACACTTTGGTTTCAGGGGATAAATAGCAAATTCTGAAGAGCCCTAAGCAAAGCCAAGAAGTACTTGACTTTCTCTTGGTTGCCCCACCTCCTTCTCAATGTCTGTCTGCTCTCTTAGAATTGATTACTAATCTTTCTCCTACCTGCCATTTTCTGAGCATTATCAACTGCTGGGGAGGATGCTATGCACTTTGTTTTCCCCCTGCCAGAGTTCTTTTCTCATTTTACATGGGAGGAGAGAAGGCACTGAGGCTTACACGGTGAAGGACCCTGTGGGTGGTAATGGAGCCAGGGAAAGGCAGAGCTCCTGGCTGTACGTTGTGGGAAATGGAGCTCTCTCTTGGCTTATCCTTTCCCATCCCTGCTTTGACAGCCCTTTGAAGGTAAAAGTCATCCAATGCCTACCCTCAGCCAAAATGTGAGATGATACTTAAGGTTTTAATGTGACAACTGCTTAAATTGACTATAAGCACTTTGCCTTTGTCTCTGCAAGCATTTGCATTTTAAATAAGACTCAAAAACCAAAAAAATCATAGAGTTGAAACCATGGGATAGGGCGGTCATGAGGGCCAAGATTCCTGAAATCATTCCAAGTTAGTGGCTCTATGCTCATATGCCAAGCATTTCACAGCACAGCTCTTGCACATAACAGACACATAATCAGCTGACTAAAACTCAGTTCATGTTCTCCTTAAGTGTAAGGAAAGCTGTTTTGGTTAACTTCAGTTTTTCTTAGTGAGAAAGCATCAGCTTTATCCAGCAACTTCGCATATGTATCTTTAAGTTTGAAATACCCACTCTTCCTAGGTCAGGTTTTTATTCTAGGTTGCAGAAAATAATTGGATTTATACATTAGGAAAAATGAATGAATGTTCGGTAGTTCATGGAAATTTGTTTGGCTTTATTTTGACAGTGTTTAGAATTAACCAGAAATTAAAAGGGTGAGCTTAGCCTGTTTACACTGAAGTGCCTTTATGATATTTTGTCTTGTTTGTCCCTAATCACAATTTTAGTGCAAACATCCTTTTGGATGATCAGTTTCAACCCAAACTAACTGATTTTGCCATGGCACACTTCCGGCCCCACCTAGAACATCAGAGTTCTACCATAAATACGACCAGCAGCAGCAGTAAACATCTGTGGTACATGCCGGAAGAGTACATCAGACAGGGGAAACTTTCCATTAAAACAGACGTCTACAGCTTTGGAATTGTGAGTACCAACTACCAGTTAACAAAGGAGGAGAGTTTATTGCTAAAAATGTTCCAGATTCTAAGAATTTTTAAAAGAGTTTTAACTTTTAGACTCATTGATTTCCTGTTAGCCCATCTTATACTTTAATTTTGTATAATCAAGCAATTAATAAAATATAAAGTCATTAATTAAAATGAACTATATTCATAGTCATGGTTAATAGTTGCAACAAATTGTGTGTACATTTTTAAGATATATAGCTGACTTTCTATATATTCCTTGTAGGTAATAATGGAAGTTCTGACAGGATGTAGAGTAGTGTTAGATGATCCAAAACATATCCAGCTGGTAAGAGTTGTCTTCATTCTGGCACCTATCTCTTGATCATTTTCTGATCAAGTTCTCTGTGATAAAATTGTCTCCTTCTCTTCCAAGCGGGATCTCCTTATAGAATTGATGGAGAAGAGAGGCCTAGATTCATGTCTCTCATTTCTCGATAAGAAAGTGCCTCCCTGCCCTCGGAATTTCTCTGCCAAGCTATTCCGTTTGGCAGGGCAATGTGCTGCAACACGGGCAAAATTAAGACCGTCAATGGATGAAGTGAGTATGTACATGGTTTTATTCAAAACTGAGCCCACAGAACCATGGGAAATCTAAACTAGATAAATTGTGTGTCTAAGTGAATTCTTTGTCAATGAGACAAATCCAGCCTCTAACAGAAAATTCCAACCTAATAGTTTTAGCATTTCCAGGTCAAAAAGTCACATTATTTGTTACTCTGGTAGAGGTCATTTCTAGGTGGAACCAAGATCACACCAAAAAAAAATTCAATGTAAAGACATAAGTGAGCAGTTACAGGGAACATTTTATTCAATTTTTTTTTTTTTTTTTTGAGACAGAGTCTTGCTCTGTCACCCAGGCTGGAGTGCAGTGACACTATCTCAGCCCACTGCAACCTCTGCTTCCCCTGTTCAAGTGATTCTCCTGCCTCAGCCGCCTAAATAGCTGGGATTATAGGCATGAGTCACCATGCCTGGCTAACTTTTTTATTTTTAGTAGAGACAGGGTTTCACCATGTTGGTCAGGCTGGTCTCAAACACTGACCTCAAGTGATCAGCCCAACTCGGCCTCCCAAAGTGTTCTGTTTTCATCAAGAGATCCAGCTCATTATAAATTCAGCATATATTTTGCTTATCCATTTTTTAAAAATTATTAATCTGTCCATAGACTTAATAACCCATTTATTTATGTGTTTATTTACACAAACAAACAAATACTTATTTAATGCCCACTCTGTGTGTGCCAGACTTTGTATTGGGTGCTGGGAATACAACAGTGATCAAGATGCAATGACTACCATCAAGCTCACTGTTCAGAGGAGTCAGATCAGTAAACATAGAATGTTGGTCCAGAAAAAGAAACATAATGATATACAGAAGGCCAGGTTGCTGTGGAACATGGACTCAGAATACATTAGCCTGTGGAAGTTAAGGAAGCTTCTTGATAGATACAACAGCTTAGCTATGATCTGAAGAACAGGTTGGATTTAGGCAGCAGTAAGGATGGAAAGACATTCTAGGCAGAGAGAGTGAACACCTGCAAAAGCTCCAAGGTGGCAGAGCCCATGGTGCTAAGACCATGGAGGGGGGCCGTGAGAGAAAGACTGGAGTGGTTAAAATAATAGAAGCTTCCATGGCAGAGGGATATGAACTCCATTCTAGGAATTTAGATTTTATCCTGAGTCTATCGTAGAGCCATGCAAAGGTTTTAAACTAGGAGTTGACATAATGAGAATATAAAGAGCACTGGCCTGGGAGTCGGGAGAGCTGTATTTCAGGCCTGACACCACCAGTAAGTGTGTGCAGCCAAGAACTCAGGAAGAAGCTATGAGATGTATCATGCAGGGACAGGGAACTGGAAGCCTGGCGCTCTGGTGTCAAACAACAGGTCTGTACCTTACTGACTGACAATACTGATTCCTCTTTCTGAGCCTCAGCTTTATCATCTATCAAATGAGAAGATTAATGTTGTTTGTAAAGGTTAAATGAGATAATATATGTGGAAGCACTTTGTAAATGTTAAAGCTCTCTCCATGTGAATATGAAGGCATGTTGTATGGTCTATTCATTAGATCAAGGATTATCATATCTGGCTGTACACCAAGTCATCTGAGGCTTCTAAAATACAGATTCCTGGACCCTGGTCACCTTATTTTTTGAATGACAGTCTCTAGGTTGGGACCAAGGGATGTACGCTTTAAAAGAGCTCCCTAAAACTTCTGGCATTTAAGAATTACAGATCGGGCCCCCCATTTCCTCCTTCCCTTCCAATCCTCCACATATTACGGTTGAAGTAAAAAATGTAGACTTGCCCAAGCTCACAAAGCTAGTTGATGGCAAACCTGAGGCTTAAGTCAGGTTTCTTGGTATTTACTTCAGTGTAGTTTCTTTTATGCCTTGTTTTAAGTCACTTAATTTACTCCTCAAAATAAAGAGTTTTAGCTAATATTTAAGATCCATTCTAATTTGAAATTCTATAGTTGAGCTAATTTCATGAAAATGAAAGAATATTCTTTATAGGTAGAGAGAAAAAGGGTAAAAGGAGAGGTTTTTCAAACTTAATTCAATGTCTGTTTGCTTCTTTGTTAATTAGGTTCTAAACACTCTTGAAAGTACTCAAGCCAGCTTATATTTTGCTGAAGATCCTCCCACGTCACTGAAGTCCTTCAGGTGTCCATCCCCTCTATTTCTGGAGAATGTACCAAGTATTCCAGTGGAAGATGATGAAAGCCATTTACTGCCTTATAATGAAAGCCTGAGGATAGACGAAATGACTCCGAAAACTCCTTTCGAATGCAGCCAGTCTGAGGTTATGTTTCTGAGCTTGGACCAAAAGCCAGGGAGCAAGAGAAATGAGGAAGCTTGCAACATGCCGAGTTCTTCTCGTGAAGAAAGTTGGTTCCCAAAGCATATAGTTCCATCCCAGGACTTAAGGGCCTATCAGGTAAATATGGATCCTTCTTCAGAAGCTCCGGGCCATTTTCGCAGGAGCTGGCCAGTGGAGACCAGCCATTTCTCCAAATTTTCCTGGGATGAATATGAACAGAACAAAAAGGAATAAATTCCATCATAAAATAAAGAAAAAAGCAAGTGTCGTGTAAGCACCTGAGTATAGGAATGACCTTGGGAAGACATTGGCTCTATAAACAATGCCAAGACAATGATCAGTGGTGAGTTTGGGTGATGCAGATAAACAATCTGGACAATTCCATTTCTTGTTTCCCAAACCCTCAAACAGAGTGCCTTAAAAAGTTGTTTTATCAGGATAATTGCCTCATGACCAAACCCACGCTCAATTAGAGGCTTTCAGAATTCCTTAAGGTCATTGGTTCTGACTTTAGCCAAACAAAACAATCAAAACCTCCCAGAAAGGGACTGGATTCTAATGTCTTCTCCATTGACCTCAGTGTGAGTCCTCAGAGCCTCCATCTGCCAAGAACATTCAGTTTGATTTCATCGTTTGGTTTAGCTCGCTTACAAGGGTTATAGGAAATGTCTAATTTGTAAATGTTAGTAGATACCTTTGGAAAGAATCACCTTGCTGTTCTGATTGACCCCTCATGTTTTCCCATTAATCCCTGACTAGCCTGCTTATCTGAAAATGAGCCAGGTTCACCCTTGGCTGTGGCATGTTCTGTGTAGAGAGGGGATTTCTTCCCAAGATCCATCCTAAACTCTTAGGACAGTTTATCATGTATACTATATATAATGTAAGCATTGACTATTATTACAGCTTTTTGAAAACATGCTTAGTAACCTATTATAGCCTAAGTGGATTAGATGAAATTTCCATCAAGTAATTTTTGTTCCTGAGAAAATGGCTGGTCAAGGGCTTAGGTCAGCTTTTTGTTTGGTCTATACCTTCCAACTCTGGGCCTTCACTCCTGCTGTTTCCTGGATCTCCCTCTTTTGAAATCCTACCCAATCATCAGAGCTCTACAAAACAGGCAGCCTCCAGGAAGCTTTCCTAATCTCTACAACCAGAAGTACTCCCTTGATCAGTATTTCAAGAGCACTTTTTTTGTATTTCTATTTTATACTTGTCATTTTCAGAATGATATCAAAACTGCTTGTCTCATCTCTTTTACTAGGTTGTAAACTCCCTATATTATTTTCTATAGTTTTTGTAACAAATTATCACAAATTTTGTGACTTAAAGTAACATAAATTAATTATTTTGCAGTTCTGGAGGTCCTTCCTTCTGGAGGCTATCGGGGAGAACTCACTGTCTTGCCTTTTCCAGCTTCTAGAGGCCACCTGCATTCTTTGGCTCATGGCCTATTCCTCCATCTTCAAAGCCAGCAATGTGGCATTTCAGATCTCTCTCTCTCTCTCTCTCTCTCTGTCTGTCTCACCGCATCTTCACTACCCTCTTTCTCTCATTCTGACCCCCCTGCCTGTCTTTCATAAAAAACTTGTGATTTCACTGGGCTCACTCAGATAAGCCAGAAAGATCTGTGTCTCAGACCCTTAATTTAATTAGACCTGCAAAGTCCGTTTTCTCGTATAATGTATTCACAGGTTTCTGGAATTGGGACATGGACTTTTTTGGGGGACCATTACTCTGTCTGTCATACTCCCTGAGTGTGTAAGGGCTGTCTCTTCAAAGCCTAATGTGTCATCCTACAAAGGCAGGTGTTTCCTTATAAATTAAGTTGAATTAAGTTACTCCTACGAACCCACATAATCAATAATTCAGCCATAATAAACATTGTTGAGTAAATTTAAAAGGGAGGATAATGACTATGATGATGGATAGAAACACTGAAGAAAACCATTTTCAGAGGATTTACTGAAACTTCCTCTCCAGGAGGCTTGTAGCAGAAGGGTAAACCTCCAGCTTCTCATCCAGCAGAGGCTCATCATGTCTTTTGTTTTATTTTTTTGGTGAGTCAGTGTGGTTGGGTTAATTGTACTCACGTTCAATTCCATGTTCAAGAACAATTAATCAAAGCAGAAAATCATCAGGAATCAGTCAGGTTAACAGATGAAGGTCAGAAATATGGAGTTACAATTCTCCAGAAAGGCACAAAGTGAGACTAAAAACATGATAAGTCTTAGTCTGTTTGACATGCTTTATACAGGCCCTGCATAAGCAGTTGGGAGAGCCCGTGCCCACCGCTGCTTTGTGGGGTATCTGGCTGCCCAGCGCTCTCTGCCCTCCTCTGATCACCAGACATGTGAAAAGGTTGGACTAAACTTCATGTAACTTTTATTCCTGTAACCTATCCTAGTTTGGCAACTCCTGATTCCGCACGTTAATGAAAGGAAGCAGCAAAAGTCTTTGACATTTGGCCTATATATTGCAAACCATTCTGAGGCTGATTTAGCTTAATTTACAGATATAATCTGAGATTATATTGGCTGAACTGGGAAAATTAATTCACAAAAGAGATCAACAAGAATTGGCTCTGTGTTAAACTGTTTTTCACTTAGAATATGGACCCCCACCAATACATTCAATGAAGGGTCACTAAGGAAGCTCTGATTAACACCAGGCCCATGCAGTTACTCAGCACATATAATCTATTGGTATTATGTTGATTTGAACTTGCTGAGCCAACTTAAAGCAGGGTTCCTCAAACTGCAGTGTGCATCAAAATGACTTGGAAAGCTGGTAAAAAACATGGATTGCTGGGTCCACCAAGTTTCTGATGTAATAGGTTTGGGGTTAGAAATTTTGCTTTCTAGTAAGTTCCCAGGTGATGCTGATGCCACTGATGTGAAGCCCACTCTTCACATCAGTGAAAACCACTTCCTTAAAGTGCTCTCAAATTGTTATAGATTGGAAGATCCTACCTTGCCCTCTACTGGTATGTTTTTTGAGAAAAGGATCATTTCTTTTCATTCTATTAAATTCATCCTATTACCTGGGATGTTCGTTAGCACAGAGTAGAAGCTCTAGAAAGATTGTTAACCAATGATCTTATTGACTAGATCATCTTTCTAGAGTATGACTATTTTGGACATCTTAAAGATGAAGTCAGATAAGCTGGCAGTGACCTGATTAATGTTGTGGTAAGATGCCACTGTGGTTGGGAAATATCTTCTGTTGAATGATCCAGTCCTCCTGACTAGACTTCCCTTCTAATGGGTGTATTAATAAGGGTTAGATATGAATTAAATGTTGCACCTTTCTTGGGTAATAAGAGGATAGTTTTATGGTTTCATGATGTGGAGACTAAGATACATAAGAAACCAAGAATGAGCCTCTGGGTGTTCCCTCTCATCAACAAACATGAATTCATAATTTTACTTATTCTCATCTTTGTAATGCACATGGGTAATCCTCCAGGCAGATCCTATTTACTAAGCTTCTTCAGGCTTTTATCCTATTTTTTAATGCCCAAACACACGGAGAAAATATTTTGTTGTTTTTGAAATTAGGTATGGGATTTCTGACATGATCAATTTTATTGACTTCTTGAGAGTTGTAATGATCTGTGATTCACTGCATAATATTGTAGTTTTACAGGGTGGTACATCACCCTGTGTAAAACAACTTTTATGACCTGAGTACTGATGAGTACAGGAAGTGAGGTTTACATGAGTAGCATTTATTAAGCATCTGCTAGAATCAAAGCACTGCATTAGCTACTAAGTTACCAAGTAAGATGCAAACAGTTTGGTAAGAAAGACAGGGCATCTACCCAAGTCAACTGTTCAGTGGCATCTGCTATTTGAATCACACACCAATGGAGCCGAAAGTACATGCTGAAAGGGTGAGAAGAAGGTGAAGAAGGCTTCCTGGGGAAAGAGATAAGGAATTAAGAGAAATAGAAAAGAGCACTGAAGAAGTACTCAGGATGGTTATTCAAGAAATTTGGGGGTCCACAGCAGCTCTGCAGAACATCCTTGGGGCCAGAAAAATGGGGTAAGGGTGAAGGGAACTGGGTCTGGAGCTTCTCATGTTTTTTCCTGGTTAACCCTCAGAATCACCCTGAAGGTGTGAATCCTATCTTATAGGTGAGGACACTGAGTCAGGAAATTAACTTGCTGAAATCAAGTCCTCCCAGTCCTTCCATCAGGTCCTCCCAGATCTGGAGGAGCCAGGATTTGAACTCACATTTGTCTGACTTCAAAGCCAATGCTTTTTCTTGTGTTCCACATTACACAATGGAGCCACTGCCAGTTCAAGCTCCTATGAAAAGGGATGGATGAGAAAAGTCATTTGTTGATTCCACAGACTTTAAGTAGGTACCATGTCTCCTGCCTTTTTCATGAGCCTACTCCTCTGCTACAACTTCTCTGCTACAGGTACCCACCTCTGCAGTTACTTGATATAAGTTAAATAAATCCATCCATCCAAGCTTCCATTCATTGAATATATATTTATCAATGGCTTCCTTTGTATCAGGCACTATTCTAGGAGCTGGGGCTACAGTGCAGATCAAAACAAGCAAAGCTCACCACCCTCATGGAGCTTACATGTGAGTGAATAAATCTCAGAGGATTCTCCTGTTATAGGTCCTGGCTCCTCTGCCAGCTCTTCCAAATGGGTTCAGAGAGATTTTCTCCTTGTCCTCTTGTGTAACTGATAATCTCATGGTGGCCCTCACTTTGCTATTCATATGCACTAAGTAGTCTGTGGTGTGCTTTGTGGCCGGCAATCATGACAGATTCTTTTCTTCTATTGGTATATGGTTTCTTCAGGGCATGTGTTTGGCTGCTGATGGCATCTTCCAGGGGGTCTGAGGCACCTAACAAACCTCAGCTCACTAGCACATGATACTGGAGTTGCCTGTTAAATTATCTTACCTTTCTTCTTCCACAGAACTGCAGCTTTTCTGAGGGCGTGGTCTATGTATGTCCTGCTCATTTTTTGGATCTCTAATGGCTGGCACAGTACCTGGTGCATAATATGGTTAAACAAATATTTGTAAAAGGGTTAAATCAAATAGTCCCTCAAAAATCTTCAGAATCAAGAATGTCATCTAGATTGCACCCACAGTTTATCTTTCTAGTATTCGGAGTGTAATCAATCATTGCTGAAATTGTTCCATTTCACCATCCTTGAATAAAAACTATTAATTTTAAATACTAGTATCTGAGATACCTTTGAAAAGAAAATTAGTCATTGTATGTATTGCTTATAAATTTTCTCTAAGGTGGAAAATATTCCCAAACCATGTCTAAGCAATGATAAACCAGTGTTCTGGCAGAGAATAGACTGATGTTTGTGGTGTTTTATATCTGTCTTCCTGTTCCAAATCATTTGTATATATTTGATGGTCATGAACTTGGCTTGCAAGTATTTTCCTGGGAAGCATTTTTATTCCAAAGACCTGTATTTCCTGCCAGACCTTCATTTAAGAGACTCATTATGGATGTCATCTGCATTATTGCAAACTTTTCTGGCCATCTCTATAAATAGCAAGATAATATTTCCATTGAGTTTTTACATTGGCTCTTGAATTTTAAAATACTCTCATAGACCAACATAATTGAAATGGGGGGTAAGGAAGTAAGAACTGCTTACTTGCAAGAAATGCAGGCTCGTTGTTGTGTCTAGTGACTGCTAGGTGCATTCACACATCTCTTAAGCTTTAAACAACCTATTGAGCAGGTTTCCATTTCCTTGATCTATTAGATCAAAGAAAATGAGGCTTAAAGGAGTTGGCTCTTGCCCTAAGTCACACTACTGATGGAATGAGAATACAGAGCAAGCTGCTTTATCCAAGTCCAGGAAATATCTGCCTTGAAAAAGTGTAACTTAAAAATTGAAAGTATTGCCTATTTAAACATGAAAACAGCTAATAAAGATATGTGTGTTTTTTAATTATTATTAATTTTGTCCTCCCATATTGGCAAAAATTAAAGCAACTGACAAAAATGGCATTCTTGTTCACTACTGGCAAGAGTGAAAATTGGTAGAATCTTTCTAGAAGGCAATTTGGCAACATGCATCAAAAACCTAAATGTTGATACCCCTTTACCCAGTAGTTTGTTTTGGAATTTATCCTAATGAATATCATAAACATAATGAAGCATACTTTTGGGCTCTGTAAACTCCTAGAAGCCCAAAAGTATGCTTCATTATGTTTGTGATATTAAAATATTGGAAATAAATATTCTTCAGTAGAAGATGGATTAAATAAATTCCATGCAGTTGTCATTAAAAAAAATATTTAGATGTATGTTTATTGCTATGGAAATGTGTTCCCAAATTATTATTGAATCAAAAAGCAGGTAACAGAATATATGTTTAATGTGAGCTCATTTATAACATTGAATATTTTAAGATAATACATGTTTCATAGAGAGATCTTCACCAAATGTTAAAGACTTTTTTTATGGGCTGGTATGTGGGTGATCTTTACATTCTTCAGACTGTTATGTATTTGAAACTTTTATAATGAGCATATTTAATTTTTATTAGAAAAGAATAAAATTTTTGGAAAAAAATAGTCATTCTCTATATTTCTACATTTACCTAGCTCTTTGCTTAGTTGTGCCTTGGTGGCAACTAGTAACTAGTAATAATGTTTCTGTTCCATTGCTCATTATTATTTTTATCTTCCTACCTTAGTAACTGAAGCTACGAAATGGATTTGTCTGGTATCCCTTAAGTAACAAGTTTTGAGAGGGCATGTAACAAAGCAATGCAAGAGGCAAAAATCAGATAAGCTGAAATACAGAAGAGCAGGGTACGGATCACAGTATACAACTGCAAGTGTTTTGTAATTAAATATTAGTTGATTTTGCTAAAATCTTTTTTCAAATTACCCGTAAGATTCATACTTACAAATCCCAACTTCAAGGAGTTATCAACAGTTAAGTGAGAAGACCTTTGGGAAGATAAATTTTCCACAACAGAATGTTCATTCTCCAGACTTTGCCCCACTATCCATTTTCAGTTTACATGAAATTTTTACCTTGCTGTAGTTATTAGTTGGAAATGAAACTTGCAACAGTGCAGAGGAAATTTGAATGAATACAGTGTTTTTCTGTAGCAGGTAGAGCTGGATCTTATCTAATAAAGCTAATGGGATTTACAATGCATTAATTATAAAGGGAAATAGCAAAGTATACTCCAGGGTAAAATAGAAGTCTAATGAGTTCTAGCTGGGGGGACTGTTTTGTGCACATAACTAAGTTTCAAAACTGTGTAAATATGATTTTAAAACAGTTCCTAGGCAGATCCAGCTAAAAGATAAATGAGTGCTGGGTTTTTAAGAGCATAAAACAGCCACAGCATTTTTTTATGATACCAAATGAATGTTTTGATGCTACTTTGTGTTTTCTGGAAGGAAAATGCCAACTAATACTAACTGTATCTTCACTGCAAAGAGTTCAGCAATTTAGGAAATCTCATACATGCAGTGTAAAATGGGATAATTTCTAAACAACACATTGCAGTGAGGTTACTCTAGTGATCTTCTTAATGTTCTTAACCCCATTATTCACTAATTATATTTTCATGTCATTCTAAATACGTACAGGCTAATTATAGCACAGTTTCTGGACCATTAAACATTGGGTATTATGATATTTTTCTTATGATTATAACCCAGGATTTTTAAAAAAGAGCTACAATGACTTCAGCCAAGGGTAAATACAAATCTATGACCTTTTATTGTTTTTATTTTGTATGTCCTAGAGGAAAATTTAAGATTCTAACATGCTTACAAAGCCAAATATGAATGTTTATATTAACTCACTGCTGGCAGCTCTAAGGTTATTACTTGAGACAGCAGGCAGAGCAATCTCTGACATTTTCATTATGCATTTGTCTAGCAGCTTGAAGAGGGGAAATAATTCATGTGATTATGAATAGCCTATCTTGGCTATTAAAATGTATTTCCCTAGTAAGAAATGATCACTGTATTTTAGAAGACATATTCTGACATGTCTCCATCTTTCCCCCATCTCATATCCTAGTATTGTCGTTCCTAATTTCAAAAGCAGTTGAATGAACCAAGTAGCATCACTGCCTCCTGTTTAAAAGGTCTCATCAATTACAGTGAAACTACACCTTCATTTCACTTTAGCCTCTATTTCCAAGGCCACACTCTAGACCCTATCACCACCTGCAACTGCTACACATTAGAAATCATAATATTTTCCATAAACAAAAATAGTATGTTTTATGACCTCATGAAGATCCTATTATCTGATCTGTACATTTTTTTTCCTGGCCTATCAACTATCGTCCTCTTCCTCCCCATCTAGTCCATGTTTTCCTTTGCCTCGGCTGGGCCATGGGTTTGTCTGTATCATGGGTTGTACTTACGGAGAAGTAGAAGCCCTACTAAGTATCTGAGGCAGAGGGAATTTAATATTGAAAACTGGTTATCAAATTGTTGAAAAGTCTAGAAGAGAAAAAAAAAAGGAAAATATGATGTTATCCCGAGACACTACAGGAAGACATTCTTATTCTTACGAATGAAAGAGAAAAATAAGGCAAAATGTTATACAAGAACTCATGACCACCATGCCACTGGGGCTGTTGAGAACATGCTGCTGATGCTCCTGGAAGGCTGCTGGCAAGAAGGAAAGCAGGGACTGATATGTGGCCTGTGCAGCGGCAGCTGCTGCTGCTGTCACTGCCAGCAACCCAGTTAAAAGCAGAGAAGGAAAACCTGCTCAAGTCTTTCCATATTCCATAACGACAAGTGGGCTGGCAAGGTCATCTAGGAACTATAGTTTTACCTGAATTACAGAGGAAAGCACAGAAGGGCAAAGTTGGAGCTAAGATGCAACAGACAAATTCTACCCTTGGCTATCTAGCATCTATTCTCACCCTTCTACCAGATATTTCAACTTCCAGTAACAATAACAGTGTTGTGGGCCTTAAATAATGGGAGATACTGTCACTCTCCTGAAACATGTGACACACATTCTCATTTATTTCTGTCTCTTAATGATCTTAATTTTTCTTCCAGTTTAGTTATACTCCACCTGACTTTTATAAAATAAAGGTAATCATCAACATTTCTTATATAATACAGGGAAAAGAAGAGAGAAAAATAACTGGTTAATATATTCAAAATATATGGAAAACAAAAATATGTATGGCTGCTAGAGCCTCTGTTTCTGTGATTTCTACTAAAACTGCAATTTATATTTATAATGTGCTTCTTCCACTATTTTCCCATGTTTCTGTTGCTCTCAAATGGCATATTGGTTATCATATTAGTCAGCGTTTTCTCTAGAGAAACAGAGTTAGTAGGATATATACAGATGCGTAAGAGGAGAAAATTATTATGGGAATTGACTCCCACAGTTAGAAAGGCTATGAAATTTCACAGTCTGCCATCTTCACACTGAAGAACCAGGAAGGCCAGTGGGGCACTTCTGTCCAGTCCAAAGACCTGAGAAGTGGGTATTGGGGCCCTGGTTTCAGAGGCCTGAGAATCAAGTGCTCTGATGTCCAAGGGCAGGAGAAGACGGATGTTCCAGCTCAAGGAGAGAAAGTGAATCCTCCCTTCCTCTGCCTTTTTGTCTACCTGGGCCCTCAAGAGCTTGGGTGATGGCCACCTGCAAGACCAGGGCTTCTTTACTCTGTGTACCAATTCAAATGCTAATCTCTTCCAGGAGCACCCTCATGGAAACACCCAGAAATCATGGTTTACCCACTGCCCAAGTCAAGTTGACATATAAAACTAACCGTCCGTGTTGTTTAGGCTTCCTTCCCTGATGGCAGGCACCTCCATTCCTGAAGGGTCTAAGTCCTTAGTGATCCTGCCTTTTCTGGAGTGTTACGATTTTACATCAACTTTCACTCCCGGATGCAGAACGATTAGCACCCAGAAGTGCCTGGATTCCAGACCTAAGCCTCCCTGCTGTCATTGTGTTCATGAATCTGATTTCCCCTTGATAGCTTCAATCAGTACCCAGAGCCATGGAAATACTTCTTTCTTTCTTCTTAGTTCAGTGGCATGACGAACCCAAAATGACAGTGTCTCAATTCCCTGGTACATAAACCCTGTTGGGTCCACATGAAATCCTTTCTCACTTGAGATCCAAAACCTTTAGCAGAACTCAGAGCTGAAGAGATAAAAAACCAAAACCAGAAAACAAAAATAAAACATGAGTGGGTACCTAGAAGTAAAAGTGAGAAGAGCCATTTTGACTTGACCCTTTGGTTGCCAGACCTCTGAATTCTGGCTGTGAATAAAATACAATCATGTATTGGTCTTTGGTTCAAAGCCTGTGTTCATCCAGCCTCACAGTGTTGCCCCCCAGCTGACACATAGCTGAGCTCTCAGCAGGCCATTTCAAAGTTCTCTAAAGCCAACTGCTTTATGAAGTATGCAGTAAGACCAGCAAAATTCTACAGGTGTGAGCCCCATTGCCTTATTATTTTACTTTATATCTTATATTTTATTTTATTTTTGAGACAGGGTTTCACTCCGTCACCCAGGCTAGAGTGCAGTGGTGTAATTTCAGCTCACTGCAACCTCTGCCTTGGTTCAAGTGATCTTCCCACCTTGGCCTCCTGAGTAGCTGAGACTACAGGCACATGCCACCATGGCCAGCTAATTTTTAATTTTTTAGTTTTTCCAGAGGCGAGTGTCTCAATATGTTGCTCAGGCTGGTCTCAAACTCCTGGGCTCAAGCAATCTGCCTGCTTCGGCCTCCCAAAATGCTGGGATTACAGGCGTGAGCCACCATGCCCAACTGCCTCACTTATTTTATTATAAAATGGGTTCTCCATCCAATTTGTGTTTAAAGAAATATTATAAATCTACCAACCAAAGTCCTGACAGAGGCACTGTGGGCAGGAAAGGCAGATCCATATCCAGACTAAGAATCAAATCTGGTGAAGACAAATCACTGTTCCCTCCATGCTAGAAGGACCCACTGCAGTCAACCTGTCACCAAATAATTAGTAGGCTGGTTCCCCTGAGGAATGGTGCCAAGTTACAAGCTCAGCATTGACTTCTGCTGTTGGCAGCTCAGGCACTTGGCCACAGTGATAACCACATCAGCTTTGATGCAGAGACGCCCACACATAATTTTCATCCCTGTTGCCATGGCCACCTAGTACCCACTACACCAGACGTAATGGTTCTGGCAATTAATCTGGCACCGAGTTGTTGTGAAAAGTATTGTCTTGCACATTTTCGTATTTCTTACTGCTCTTGGGAGGAGTCTATGAACAAAAAGCATTCAATAGGTATTATGCTGTTGGCATAAAGGATGGAAAGGCAAGGGAAATTCCAAGTAGGCTTTGGCAGAATGGAACAGTGTAAAAACCACAGACAGGCATGTAAATGAGCCTGAACTGAGGGAGAGCAATTAGAAAATAGTAGAGAATAATTTGGAGAAGTAAGATCTGGTATTTCACAGAGCCCTTTGAATAACAGGTTGAATAATTTGCACTTTATCTGAGAGGAAGTCCTTAATCATTTTAATCAATTAAATAAAATATTAGGAATGATAGGCACATAAAAGTAACCTT